TAGTCCTACTAGTCCCTTAAAAGTCCGGGTTTGGACCTGGTCCAAACTAGTTCCCCGTGGACCACTTAACATCCCTACAGAAAATGAAGAAACAGGTAACGATGAACGTTATTCATGATCGCGTGACGGAATTTTATGTGTTATTACATATACAGTTATTTTTATTTTCCCGAAATTTTTTTTTTTTTTAAAAAAAAAAGTACATTACGTAAATGGGTGATTCATAATGATAACAACAAATAACATATTTAACTGTGTAGAGAAAAAATTGATACACCGTATACGTAGAGAAACATGTATGTGGCGCAAAACGCCACATACATACATGTCACTGGAGAGAGATAATCCACCATCCCGGTACTTAACGTTAACAAACAATCGTGTAATGAAAATCTGTAATATGAATCCTCATGTTAAAAAAATCGAATTAACTATGATGTACGATAAGAGTAATGTATACATAGAAATTGATTTTTAATCATCTATATTTGTAAACCAATAGTTGCATTAAATATGTCATTGCAGCAAAGTATGTGTAAAGAGTGAAATTAATAAGCCATTAATTTCTATTCCCGGCGAAGATATGATTGATAATGTCTAAGTGCGTAAATTTTTTTTATTTCTTATATTGGGTCTGTTATACGTATTCCATAGATTTTAAAACCTATAATGCAGTAATGCACATTGGAAACTTTAATTTTAGAATCAGAAGCTTCTAATTTTTTCCAATCCCAATCTTTACAATATTCCAATAATTATATTCCAATAATTTTAATCACATCATATATATATCGTATTAGAAGCTTACAATAAAGGATTAGAAACTTCCAATTCTTCCAATCCAAAAATCTTCCGATCTTCCAATTATCATTGTTAAATATATATTACTTAATAAGCAATGTATATATCGATATGCAAAAACTAAAAACTTTTTTTTATTTACTACGTAAAAATATCATTTGTACTAATGTGCTTAGTACATTTGCATTTATGCGGTTTTACAATTCAATTTTATTTTACTTTACTTTACTTATCAAGATGTTCGAAATCTCGATTGTTTAAATTGTGTACCTGGTCTGTTTTATCCAAAAGTACTGTTTATCAGAAATATATAATGAGTAACGGCTTTTTCCATGATTACAATCTCTATTTCCTGATAGTGACAAATGAGAAAAATATATTCTAGTGCGATTTTATTTTCAAATAAATTGCTATTTAATTTTCGCTGTTATTTTTTTGATTCCTACATTATCAATGTTGTAAGTGGAAAATTATTAAGGTTAGAGTGAGGATTAGATTTTAGGGAGTCCTCGGATTTTTGTAGCATTTAGCAAAATAGCTAGCAACAAATTTTGCTACTTTTGCGCTAAACATGTGTGTTCTTGAACTGATTACATGAATGAGTAATTATATACATATTTTAGATGATGACCGCTGAAATGATAGATGAAGAACTCGCAGAAGAAAAAATATTACTACATTAACATTTAATAATAAGCTATTTTGCTAAATTTGCTAATTTCACAGGTTATTTTTGCTAACTATTTTTGTTATCAACGTCCGGGGGCCCTGGTTCCGTTCCCACAAAAACATTAAGAGGATTCTTAATACACAAAATTTAAATCTACATACGATATATATTTTAGGCTTGAAATTCTACTGTATAACGTAAAAATATGTGATGATAGAACGTGATCAATTTTATTTTATTAAGGGTATCTCTCAATCAATGAATTCGATAAAGAATTTGATCAGATAAATCAATCAAATTTAGCTCGCTAAGGCTATCCTCACTCAATGTAATGGACTAATGATTGAGATGACAAATGATATGGTCAATTGGTGCAAAAATGACAATCGATGCTTGAGCTATCTATTTTTATCTTCAATTGATTACCATTATGATTCCAAAACAAAAAATAAAAAATAAAGGAGGGATGATTACCCAATTACCCAGCTCTAGCTATTCATAAATAACTTATCGCAACAACTGCCATATTTGGCTACACGATTGTTAAACAATAACCATATTTGACAACAAATAATTATAGATTAATGTTTTTAATGTTTTTAATGCTTTTAGTGTTAAATGAAATGACGTCGAGATATAATGAAACAATAAATTATTTATAATACAGTTCAGTGTATAAAATAATATATATATAATTTATATACTGTAATATATACCTAGAAAATAATAATATATAATTTACTGTAATATATACCTAGAAAATAATAAGTGTTTATTATTTTGCGTATTAGTTTCTTGTGCGTTTATTATTTGTTATAAGAGTTTCTACCTAATATTCATATTATAAATAATAAATAAATAATAAATAGGTTACTCTATTAATGGTGGGTTCTAACCAATCAGCACAGCTTTATGAAAAATCGATGCCCACTTTTTGTGACTCAAATGATACGTAACAGATAAATGATAACAGATAATCGCGACCATATTTCGGTTAATAATATCATTCAGTAAACATTACCTAAACCTAGTCAGCTTATAATACTATCTGGTCATTTGATAGGAAAATCTCCATTTGGTACTTTCTTTTAAATAATGACTTTCCTAGCAATGACCATCTGTGTAATAAGTTAGAAGTACACAGATTGGTCATTTGCTAGGAAAATCAATACCAAATGGTAAAGCTATTACCCGAGTGGGTTAACAGTTTAAAAAATTTTAGTTCACTTACATAAAGCGATTCTTATTTAGAGCTACTACTTGGGTCAATAGTTTAAAGAATATAGTTTATAATTTTTATGCTGTGTCTTGTATATATATTAACATATAACAAAATACTTGAACCGGAACTTTTCAGATTTTGCATTGAAAAATTTCTCAACCTTGCCCGTAATTCGAGTATTTCTACGTCAGAAGTACTGGATCTCTAGATTTTATCAATGGGTAATTATTTTTGAATTCAGACTAAAATATTATTACATCATAAAAATAATTACCATATTATCCATGACCCATGATCCGTGACCCGTCAAAGAAGCTAATCCGTACGGATTAACCCGATCCAGGCAAGAGCTCTACTTCTAAGAAATTGACAGCCATCCAGTCACGTGATTTACAGGCATCAATAGCCTTCGGACAAAAAAGTCTATTTATGTTAGGTTTGGGTGTATGTTAGAGTTAAAAGGGACTATAGTATAGCAAATTGAATGAAAGGTCGATTTACTAGCTACATCTTGAGTAAACGCGACTTTTGCAGTGAACGATGTCGGAAAATCACATGAATGGAGATTCCCTGGCGTTGTTGGTTTTCTATAATGTAAAAACAATTTTAACATAGCATCTTAATATTGAAAAAAAAAATAATAATAAAACACGCTTTTTTTTAAAAATTAATGTTTTTGTATTTTTGAAGTTCTTTCAATGTGCTATCTTAATCTTGCATTATCTTTGGGAATTTATTAAAATAGTGAATAACAGGTTTGTTTTTATTTGTTAGTTAACTTCATGTTGCATTACATAATCATTATTATAGTCAAAAGCCTCTGGTTACGTATAATAAAAGAACAGCTGTCTTAATATCGACTGATTTTGATAACCTCCCCAGAGTTAGAGTGCGTCAATTATATATAATTTCATATGTCAGATATGTTTGTTCGTAGCGTACTATCTAAATACGGTATCAAAATAATTATGAACTTAAAATTCAACGAAGTTATACTATATACATAATATTTAATTATGTTCCTTTTCGATATGATATCATCTACATACGAATATAAAATTACGTATTAGTATATTATTAATATTGTGTCACAAAAGCGTAGTCATTGTATTTAACTTCAGGGAAAAATAAATAATTCACATTTATATTTACATCTACTACAAGCTTTGTTTTTTTTAGAAAGTGTATCCAGACTAACTAAAAATACGTAAGTACTAATCATTATTTATCTCGATGGCATTAACGATCAGTAACTATTTTAAACATGTTATTTTAAATCATTCCCGCTGTTTTCTTTGCTTTATTAAAAATTTACTAACTTTTTTTTCTTTTTTTCGTATAGATAAAATATTCCTTAATGTCGGACTCGGATATAGAATCGTATGTGCAAAAACCAACTTATAAATTTCTTGGTACGAGAACTCCTTTGAGATCTGAAATTTGTCCTTCACCGGTTGTAGCGGGTTTACGAGAAAAATATGAGGGATTAAGAGAATCATTAAACCCACTTCATGAAGTTGCCAAAAAGGCTGCTTATATTGATACTTTAATCTATTTGTTGAGAGAACAAGGTTTTGAATTTCATCAAAGTCTTGATGGTGAACATCAACTTATTGATTTAATTGGAAGAAAAAAAGTCAAGATTAAAGTAATTGACGATTCTAACGCTGAAGATGATACTGATGGAGGTATTAATGAAGATAATGATTCTAATGAGATTGATGAAACACAAGATACTATCAAACTAACTTCATCGAGTCGAAAACGTATGATGCATTTTAACACTACACACGAAAAGACTTGTAATGGCAATATGGTTAAAACTAACAAGAAAATAGCGATTAGTAAAGACGATGAAACTGTTGTAAAAACTAATCCTATCAAGGGGATAATCACTAAAAACTATAATGGTACCGTCCGTCGTCCTCCCATCAAGTATTCTCAAACCAAACCATCTTACACTCAGAAAGATATTTCTCGGCATGATAATAGTTCTAAAAAACACATGATCAATATGAAATCTACAAATAAAAAATTGTATGGAACCCCTGCACCTTATGTCCCACCTGATTTAGCTTATGTAGAAGTGCCAAGTATTTCTGCTGCACTTAAAGCGATGTATATCAAAGTTTAGATAGTGAGATGTTGGAATTAATTGAATTAAATTGCATTTTTGGAGAGTTTCGAGTTAGTTACTTGCATAATGTGTATTTTTTTTGTTATTCACAAATTATTTTGTCTATTATCTTTTGAAGAATAATTATTTATGATAAAATTATTCTTGCTTTAATAATAATTTGTGCAGTAATTTTAATATAATTGAGAATTGAGTTATAATCTAAAAAATTTCAGTATCAAACTATTACTATCTTTTGATTAATTATTATTATTATTATTATTATTAAATAAATTCTTTGACTTGTTTGAAGATTTAACTAAAGATATAGATAGTAAAAGGCAACACTAATATTAAATATATAGTATAGTTATGCATATAGTAAATTTTATAATAAACTGGCATTTAATATTGTATGAATTAATATGAATACAGAAGAAAGCAAATATTACAATACCAACAATGAAATTTGTTACATTATAAATAAAATGCTAATAAAGCTTTTATATATAAATTATATATTATGAAAATTTTCAATTTTAAAGAATTTGAATCTTAGAATTTTAAAACGTTAAAACTAAGAGTGATCTAATTAGACTCAAGGGTTTTGGTTTTACTCAACGTAGCGTATAAAGCACGTTAGAGTTAATGGTAGCATTGTATATCAGATATAAATTTTATTTATTTTTTTATTAAACATGGTTATGCCCCTTCACTGGTTTATATATGTCGTAAGTGTGAACAGTATTTAAGTTGATTCAAAATTTTTAAGGCTAGGGTTAGGATTTCTAGTATAATTATTCTGTTCTAATCCAAATGGATTCCGAACTTATTATGATTCTATTCCACACTTACAACATATACAAATCAAAAAATTCGTTTATTTAAAAGTTGATTAACAAACAATACTTAAATTAAATTATAGCTCTAAATATAAATTTATTAGAAAAAACTTGCCTTGGTCTTTGTTGAATAAATATTAGTTAACATTATAACGGCAATTTAATATGATTAGAGCTAATTTGCTCTCGGTTTATATTCTACTAGAGTGGACCAAGGTCTCACCTATATTGCGAGCGTTGGGGCTGAATTAGTGTATTAAATTTTTGTTTTATAATAATTTAGGTGTTTTTGTGTATGGCTATGGGGGTAGTTGCACTGATAGGTAATTGTGTTATCTTGTATGCCTGTGTTGGATGGGGTGTGTGTGAATAAGTGTGGATAAAAAATTTTTTTTTAATTATACGCAAATACAAAACAGTGATTATTAAATGCAGAGAAAATCCTGAAAACAATGTACGACATATTCCTTCAGTCATTTGAGAATGGTTAAACCATTTTCGATTAGATTTAAACAAAAATGCTATCTATAAATATATATATATATATAGTTACCTCTCCTATATATAACTAACTTTTAATCAATTAGAAAATCATGAATTATAAATAAAAGTTTTTCTCATAAAAAATTATCTCATGCTAATAAATATAATTATAGCACCAATATTGGTCATACGACGAGTTTTGTTATTGATATCTCGTTCAAACAGGTCAAATTTTGAACTTAGTAGATGAAGCATAAGAAATAATAGGGAATTGGAAAGAAAAGAAAAATAATGAGATATTACAGTACTAGCTAGTGACCACATGAAACAGCAGAGGCAAGTGTGTTCTATGGTCGAATGATAAATAAGCACACCTGCTTGAAAACAAAATTTACTTTTACATAAGCACAATCATTTATAAGCAAAAAATTAATAAATTTGTTTATTAAATAATATTTCTTTGTAGCATTTGTTTTGCATTGTAAAAACTTTCATGAAAACTGTTACTGAGTCAACATTGTATGAAATTTGGAACTAGTTTTATTTTCATATGTTAAAGCTGATTATGTAAAGCCGGGTCAACGTACAATTCTACTTCTGTATTTGAGCTTTTGCAAATATCTTTGAAACACAAATAGCTTTTTTTGTTTTTAAAATATTAAGTACATTAAACAACTAAGTCGCGTTAAATCAACATCTAATGATTATCTTATCAAATTTTTCATCTTTACTACAATTTAACTTTTATAAAAAACTAAGCATAATACTCTATTGAAGTCTTAGATCAATCTTTATTACTATAATCAAGTACATTATTATTGTATTTGATTAACATGAAACTTGCAAGATCAAAAAGAGAAATAATTCAATATTTATTTATTTATTCGAATAGTTCAAAGAGCTTATTTAGACATTTTAGATATTGAATTTAATTACATAATATATATTTATATTCACATTACTACGTATTCAAAATATATTTCCAAATTCGATTTTTTAAAAAAAATTTGAATTCATATCCAGTTCAAAGTCTTTAATTCTAATATCTATTTTTTTTTTTAAACTAGTTAAATACTATGCTGCCTATTATGAAAAATTCCAAGTTACTAGACACTTTCTAAAAGCCAGTACAGACAAACTTGGATTCCCCGTAATAAGCCAAGGTTGCTCTATTAAGGAAAGTGCATACCAATTCCTCCTCCAGAATCAGTCGACCCCAATAGGCGTACATGCTGTACGTAGCAACCTTCCGTTCCCAAAATGTTCACAAACATAATACTAACCTTCGTTGGTGTAATTAATAATATTATGCTGAAGTTACCTCAAATAAAAAGGTTTTTTGAAAAAACGTTTTAACGTTAAAAAAATAAACCGAAAACATTCGTGTAAATAAGATAGAAACGCGAAGGTTTGTTTAAACAGTAAAAGCACATCAAAAATAAACAATATTTTCGATATCGCTTAAATCACATGGACTTTAACCAATCATATTTCAACTATTTCAAATATCAGGCAATCAAGTTATAACACAATTATTTGTTAAATAGAGACAATTCTTTATTCAGGTATAAAAGAAAAAAAGAATTACATTGTAACTACGATACTGTAGTGAAGTATAAAGTAAATTATATTTATACACAGTTAATTATACACAAATGAAATTATCTATAAAAGAAATTTTGATTATTATTTAAAAAACAATTATTGAATTTCAATTTTTCTTCCAGATGGCTTCTCACTTTGATCCTTTGGAAGTTTCACTTCAAGAATACCATTTTCAAATTTAGCAGTTATATCAGTAATTTTAACGTTTCGAGGAAGGGTGATAGCACGAGTGAAACTTCCATAACGACGTTCTTGAATGTGTGTATTTCCTTTTCATCTTTTTTGGTTTCGCCGGAAATTACAAGTGTGTCTTCACGAACATCAACATTGACTTGTTCTTTGGGGACTCCCTATTTACAATGCAATTTAGTTAAATATATGTAATTTAAAGTTATAAAAAAAAAAAAAATACTATATATGAATCATAGAATATATACCGGTAATTCGGCGTTCACAATATATTCTTTTTCGCTTTCATGAAAATCAAGAGGTGGAAATCGATTAGTGCAAAATAGTGAATTTTCAAATTTATGATCAGAGTATAACGACATTTTTTAATAGTAGTTTTTTTTTTTTAAAGCTATTAAATTTGTTTTATGTGTTTTTGTTTTTAGTTTTGTAATTTTATTATTTGCTTTGAGCTTTGATTTTGAGATGCAGATTCAGTAGGTGCGTACTTAAATAAAATTTCGCAGACTAAGCTCTATAGCTGATAGTACGTAAGTGCGTACCATAGTTTATAATTTCTTGCCGATTCGGGACTCATCTGGATACTATCGCTATAATTATTTCCTAATTATTTGATTTTCGAAATCACGCTTCCAGAGCGTTCTACGAAAATCTTTAACATTGTAGAAATTATATACACCAAAAAGGAACCGTTACACGCAAAACTCTATCTTAACATGACAATATGGCGCAGAGATCATGTGTAACAGAATCCGTCGTAAAAATTTCGAATAAAAAATCACTTTTCTTACTGTACAATACATGTCTTGTTAAAATCATCCTTAAACGCTAACCCTAACATAAATGACCTTAAAAGAATTTAACACGTTCTATTAAGATTCAAAAAAGATGTGCTAAAGTATTTAATAATCAATTATCTTGATTAATAATTCATTATCTCGACGATTAATAATAATTATCATGATTAATAAATCAATAATCCAGATTAATAATCAATTCATAAAACTCCAAATAATAATAATAATAATAAATGTCTGTTTAAATTGTTGCACATTATATAGTCATACGTAGTATCATTAAAAGATTACCCTCAAACCAAACCAAGCCGCTAATTTGGTAATATGATTTCACAAAAATCTTGACTATACAGTTATTAGCATTCGAGGAAACTTTGATTTTTTATTGAGCCAGTTAGAGAATCTTTTAACTTTTTACAATATTGGCTTCTTGTTTTTTAAAAAAAGCGCGAGTAAAGTTGAAATCACGATACTAGATGATCTACTATAACTTCCCCTGGATCGCCACCAAAATACTAATAAAATAACTTCCCCTGGATCGCCACCAAAATACTAATAAAATTTTTCGATCACGTGAAACTATCCAATAATAAATCACGCCT